AATTTATGTTCATTTAAAAATTTTTTATGGTGGTTAAGAGATCGGTAAAATCAACCAAACCTGTACATAGATTCATTAGTGAAAATAACAAATAAAATATAATGTTTTTTCTTAAGAAACATTTGATAACAATCTGGACATTATAAAGATCTCGCACGTGGAATTTGAAAATTTAATGATGCATAAAAGTATTTTTAATCTTAAAATGAAAATTACTTTGAATGTTAGATAAGCAACATGCAAAAAGAAAAAAGGCATGAGAAAAACATTGCTTTACAAACCTTAAGACTTAATAAATAAATTTGGTATTTTGCATATGAAAGCATTGTAATGTTTACTGGTAATCTGCCAAATTACGTTAACACACGCCTACTAATTTAAAAGTTATAGCATGAAAACTATAACAAGTGCAAAATGGTTGCGAGATTGGTCCCAGGGACCTATCTCATGCTGAAAGAGTTAAGTAGCTGCTATTAATATAGAAAAAAAAAACTTAGTAGTATTTATACTGTAGTATAATGTACTTATGAAGATATTAAAGTTGCATTAAATTATGGTCTATTGTTTTTGTAACTAGCCTGCTGTAGCTGTTGGAAATGTAGGACAGCTAACTGTGGATTTGCTTCTCTCAACTTTGGAGGTAGAGCTGGTGGGCCGTCTCCATTCTACAGCATTTCTCCCTCTAGTGGGACCAGATCCATTTCATGCAGAACCAAAAGGAATTGTCACTTCATGTCAAGGTTTGTGTTCATCCTGATTTGAAGAATACATTCTTATAAAACAGGTTTATCAGAAGGGTTATTTATTATTCTACTTGTGCTGAATGTTATTTCATTAATTACATTTTTCATGTGAAAATGTGTAATTTCGACACAAAATTAATGTGAAGGTATTAATTACTTAAACAGGTTTGGAAAAATTATACAATTTTCAGTTCAAGTACTAATTTATATTACTAGCTTCATCTATAGGTTTATGAAAATTTAAAAATGTTTGAACAATTAAAAAAACCAAACAATATCCAGTGTTAGAATTTTACACTAAACAACTATGCAAAATCCTGACTAAAATAATGAATTCTCATTTTTCTGTTAAGTAAAATTGAAATACAACTAACTTTCTACTAGTAAAAGATAGTGGAACAGCTTTTCATGTTATAAGGCACGCAGACATGTGCTTGCACCATCATTTGCATTTTTTATTTCATTAAATGTAAACATTTCTCATCTGATCATTATAAGTAATTGTTATCAGCATTATTAAAAATACAATTAACTTCCATAATATACAAAAGGTTTGTTACTCATCATCTGTTATTATATATTTTTGTGTAAATGAACATAATTAATACTTTAATTCCTTGGAATATTTCTTAGGGTAACAGTGAACTACTGTAGTGTATTGACCACATTGGTTTTACCTCTGATTTAAGTTATTATTACAGATAGTTAATATTAACTGTGTATAATAGTTCCTTATATAACATTGTCATTAGTTGAGCTATAATCATTTTTATGATTACTTTTTCTTATCATATTAATGCATGTTGTAGCTTTCCTTACAAAGAACTATTATTTTCATTGAACTTTCTCCATTCTAAAGGCTCATTGTGTCTCCTTTTCAGCTTTTGTAGAAAATATAAAGTTATTTATTACTTATTTCAGCAGTTCTATGCATTTGTTTGTTACAGGTGGTAGCTTAACCCTTTCCAGATGGGTCACGGGTCAAAAACCATGTCTTTGCATTTGTTGACTCGCATTCAAACTTTTATTGAACTGCTATTTTATGAATTTATGTCATTTACTTTGGTATCAAACTGTAGATTATAATTCAATTTTTACTATTATACATTACTTAATTTCTTAATTTAAAAGTAAATATAAAAAAAACACCTAAACATCGATTTTTGCATGTCACGTTATATGTTGAATGCAGCACTGATTCAAGTTAGATGTTCATGATGTCAAAATATAAAGTCTATAGTTTAGTATGAATTAGGAACTCAGATTATCAATATTGACAAGCTAATATATTAAATAAGATGCTTCTATCTTTTGTATTTGCTGAGATATCGATCATAGACTGAATCAAAGACAGTGGCCCCACTCACCTCTTTCCATTTTTGGAAATGGTCCCTTATATACATTTCTGTATATGATATGTGAATAATCAATCAAAAGCTCGGAATGTTGCCCGAGTAGCTTTCTCAGCCATTTTCAAATATTAGAGCATCATCTCTTTCTTTCGAGACAAACTTTCATACTGGTAAGTTGAGTCTGTTTGAAATTTCATATTTTTTAGACACAAATACAGTTTAGTTACTAAACTTGATAAATTATTGTTGCGTCAGCGAGGTCTCGTGACTAGTATCACGCCACAGCCTTCTCGAACCTTCATGAATTATCGAGAGACTACTAGATTGGGGGTAGTCTGGTATTTATAAGATGCTCACAACGTGACGGAACAAGGAATGAGTAATTGAACTGCAGTCAGAGAGTGCGTAATTGAACTGAGTATTGTCGAGCACGAGCACGTGAGACGTTATAGCGTTTGTTATAGAGCGACTGTTGAAATTAAGTGTATCGGTAAAGTTGTATTCGGAAAGAATAAACCAGTTTTATTTAAGAAAGGACTTGTGTCGTTAAAGTTTCGTCAGAACGAACTGACGGAAAAATAACTAACGAACGGAGATGTAACATTATAATGGAATTCTGTGGTATCTATATAGTAATTTATGATTTTTGGTTATTCAACTGTGTGTATATATATATAAAACCTGAAGAAAATTATTTTGTTTTGCACGTGCAAAACTTCTTGAGGATTAGTAACTAGAAGAGATAATTGTTTGCTTTACTTCTTTATTTACTTAGGATGCCAATTTCTTTCCTTTTAACCAAGATTTCAAGGAGGTAGGTTTTGTTTTTAGTCTTCTAAGAATTCAATATTTTTTTGGACTAAAATACAGCTTAGTTACTAAGCTTGATAAATTATAGTGGAATTTTATGGTATTGATATAGTAATTTATGATTTTTGGTTATTCAACTGTGTGTATATATATATATATATATATA